GATATGATTCGTAGTGATGGAAATTCTGTTGATAGAAAAACCACAAACGTTGTATATAAAGAATTGTTTAACAATATTTAGTTATTATTTCTTAGAACATTTTTTCAATGATTATATTATGATTTTTACTATTGTTTATATATTTTTATTATTTTTTGTTCTATTATATTGTTTTCCGTGCAAATGCACGGGTTAAAAACTAGTTAACGTCACAATGCCAATGGGCAATTTGCCATCCTATGGATTTAAAAATTAATTAGCCAATTCCTCAAGGAATTACTTAATTATAAGAAATAATACACTTACCAGTCCCTCGGGTTTGTAATATAAATAAATAATTTTATGATAATTATTATTTATTTATATGGTCTAACAGTTATCAATGGAGTTTAATCAATTTGGGTACATGTGTGAAAGATAAATTCTATCAAAAACTAAAAAGATCTGCAACTATCAACTTAAGATTTAAGTTTATATCAAATTGAGAATAGAAGATGAGTCAGTTATCAGTTCAATGTTTGAATGATTTAATCTATCAGTTCAGAACTTGAAAATTTTAAAATTGTTAGTTGTAAACTCCAAAGGTGCAATATCTTTTTATATTTATTTTATACTGAGATTATTTTATTCATAAATTTTTTTTCTACGAGTGTTGTGGCGTATGAAAAAATTACTTATATATTTCATCTATTTATATGTTTTTATTAATATTTTGATGTGTTTTATTTTATTTTTAAGAATTATATTCAAAATTTTAAATTGATAGTTAAAAAAATTAGTTATATATTTCATCTATTTATATTTTTTTATTAATATTTTGATGTGTTTTATTATATTTTTAAGAATTATATTCAAAGTTTTAAATTGATAGTTTTATGCCCTCCGATTTTAAAGTTGGTATAATTTATCGTTCAGATCCCAGAGCGATAGTTCACCCGTCTTTAAGATCCAGAATTATAAAACTCATATTTGTTTTTTATACCATAAAAAATACATGTTACGAATTTTTTGATTTTTTATTCTCGGTTAATAATTTGCATTCCGGCAAGATATCTACAAATTTAGCCAGTTAACCTAATCTATTTTGTGCTTCAAATTGTTGCATAAAACCAATTTTATGTTATTTAACAAATATAGTTCATACTTATATTAGAAAGTATGAAAAATTAGTATTTTACATTATTTAATGGTATCTATTATGTAATATATATTCATAATTTATTTATAGAAAACTTATCAATCAATTGTTCTTTTACATTGATATTAATATAAATATTAGCATATTTGATATAAAAAAATTATTTTTCATTTTCTATATAAAATATGGTTCAAGTAAAAAATATTGATAGAACGCCAAATGCATATGTAATTTATACAAATGTGTTAAATAAAAACGTTACCAAGTCTTTGATTAGAGATATAAATATTAAATTTCAAAAATAACATAATTATTAACTAAATAAAATAAAAAAGAAAGAATTATAATATAAATATAGTTAGTAATATGGTGAAATATATTTATACCTTATTATTTAATACAAATGACTTTAAAAAGGAAATTATTAAATAATTCTAATTTTTGTATGTAAAAAGTGCGTTTAATGAGTCTCATTATTTAAAATGGGAATGTGAGGCTCAATCACAGCCATTAAATAGGGAAATGATGTATGACCAAGATTTAATCTTTTATTATTATTTTTTAATTATTTAAATAATGATTTGATCATTTGACACCGTTGACCGCCGGCGTTAACAATTGACAATATTATGTTTAAACTAAATATGCATATATATAATGTTTGCTTCTTTTGACTGGTTAACTAGTCATCAAAATGCAGTGGTGGAGAATCTTTTCAGAAGTGCTTTTGATCACAATCTCTTAGTTCTTAATGATAATCCAAATCAAAAGTTTATAAAGAAAAAGTGGTTCTTCTTTGATAGAAGATGGTTTAAGCTACAATGGGTAAAGAAAATTGTGAAGCAGGCTTGGGAGATATCTCAGACTGGAACCCCAATGTTCGAAGTGAAAGAGAGACTAAAAGAAACGAGGCTGGCTCTTCTCAAATGGAGTAGTTTTTTCAAATCTGAAAATGAGATGTTGAGGGTGAACCTTTCTGGTAGGATCGAGGACTTGAGGAAGCAAGGGGGTGAAAGAGACTGGGAGAAGTGGGAAAGATTGAAATAGGAGTTGAAAAAGGTGGATAGAAAGGAAGAAGAATATTGGACTCAAAAGGCCAGAACCCAGTGGCTGAAAGAAGGGGACAAAAACTCGAGATTTTTTTCATGTTCTGACAATACAAAGAATTAAGACCAATGACATAACAAGATTGATGAATGCAGAAGGGCAAATCTGCGAATCTCGTGAAGACATTGAAGCATGCTTAAGTTTTTTCTATGGAAAGCTTTTCACATCAGAGGGGTCAAGAGGGGAGGAAGAGATTCTTCATCTTATGCCTCAGTCTATCACAGATGAGATGAACCAGGACTTAGTAGCCCCATATACTAAAGAGAAAGTCAAAGATGCTTTGTTTAGCTTGGATCCTAATAAATATGCTGGAGAAAACGGTATGTCCCTTATTTTCATTCAGCAATTTTAGTCAATTATAAAAAATGGTGTGTGCTCTGTTGTGATTAGATTTTTTTATTCTTGCCAGCTCCTTTAAAACTGGAATCATACTCATTCCAAAGTTCATAAATCCTGAGTCTTTAAGTAACTTCATACCTATTAGCTTATGTGGAGTCACTTATAAGAAAAAAAAAATCCTCTAGGCTCAAAATATGTCTTCACTTATGTGTGAGCGCAAACCAATCAGCCTTTATCCCGAGTAAACATACAGACATAGATCAGGAAAGATTAGATATATGGATCTCAAGTTAGATATGGAAAAAACCTATGATAGGGTAGAGTGAAACTATATTAAAAAGATCTTGGTTCAGATGGGTTTTCGCTTCAACTATGCCAATATGTGTTCTAGCTTGTATTTCTACTCCTTCCTTTTCTTTTAACTTAAATGGGAAAGTGAAAGGTTATGTGAGGGCTTCAAGAGATATCAGGCAAGGGGATCCGTTATCCCTTTACCTTTTCATATTAGTGTCTGAGATGTTTACTATAATTTTAAAATTAGAACAGAGAGAGGTACATTCACTGGGATTAAAATTTCTAAATGTAAAATATGAAGAGGAGAGGATTACATTCACAGTGATTAATGTTTCTAAAAGAGGGCCTCAGTTCACTAATTTACTTTTTCCAAATGATGTTTTGATCTTTACTAGAGCTTACTGTTGACAAGCTCAGGTTCTCATTAACATTATGCATAGGGATCAGGTCTTTATAGGCCCAAAAATAAACCTTGGAAAGTCCTCTGTATTTTTTAACAAGAATACCTCTTTGGGAGTTCACTTGGGTATTTTCTAGGTTTTAGAAGAAATTCAGATATAGAGATCTACCAGGTGTCTAGGATTACCTTTAGGCATTGGGAAATCCAAGAAAGGATGCTTTGATTTTGTGCTGGGGGCGGTGAGGAATAGGTTAGTGAACTAGAAAAATAAGTTCTTATCAAATGCTGGTAAAGAAGTTCTTATACACTCTGTTACCAATGCTCTGCCAATCTTCATTATGTCCTATTTCTGTTTACCTAAAGGGGTGTGCCAGGAAATTTCTAAGTTATGTGCAGCCTATTGTTGGAGCAAAGGCGAAGAACATAAACATGGGATGCACTGGAATTCTTGTAGCTGGGCAAAGAGGATATGGGGAATAACTCCTATCTGTTGGGATGGACTGGAAGAAAACACAAAGAGTTTCAGATATTGGTGGTGGGGAGTTTGGGCAATGGACAGAAGAGTGATATTTGAAGACAGGTTCCTGTTGACTACCAACATCCTCTAGAAGGACTGGAAGAGTTTGCCTTGGTGGTCAACAATGGAGCCAAGTGATCAAGAAGGAAGAGTGACTAGGTCCCTTTGGGGTCCAATGGTGACTTCTTTTTCTTGTGTTTTGTATATTTTGGGTTACTGTTGTTCTAAATTATTTCTAAAGGAATGGAATATTTTACTAGCCTTTAAGGGATTGGTGGTTGAATTTATGTTGATTGTAGGTCACTTGGTAAGTGGTTCTCCCTTGTATCCTTTGTGTTTTTGAACTATTTAGTCTCTCGGCTTGTTAACATTTTATTGTGATGAACGAAATTTCTATCCTTTTGAGAAGAAAAAAAAACTTGGAGAAGTTTGCAAATGATTGTCTGGTGACAAATCATTTTGGCATATATAAGTTGAAGCAAGAACAAGAAACAATTATATTTTAATTTTACAATGTAAAGTCACTCCCAAAGTTATGCAGGATGAGATTCGTGCCTTGGAAAATAATGGCACGTGGGATGTGGTCTCTCTCCCCTCTGGGAAACGTGCTATCGGGTGCAAATGGGTCTTTAAGATCAAACACAAGGCCGACGTGTTGAACGATATAAAGCACGTCTGGTAATTTTGGAATCAGGTTACAGGTCTTAATTATCATGAGACTTTTGCTCCGGTCGCCGGTTACAGTCCGACTGGCTATAGCTACTGCCAAGCATTGGGAAGTCCATTACTGCCAACCATTGGGAAGTACATCAAATGGACGTTCACAATGCTTTTCTGCGTGGTGACTTGGATGAGCTATGCAACCTACCTATCTATTGGCTCGCTAGATATTGAATGGAAAGATTTATCACTGCACACTCTTTCACAGAAAATGCAGAAGTCATTTAAATAGATAGCCTTTATTATTCTGGCTTATAGGATGTAAAAAAAGAGAGATGGAGCTATTATATTATATATATTTATCCATTTTGACCTTGACGAATTGGATCGAGAGATCGAGTCTTCGTTCCCCAATAAACCCTATGTCTGTGACTATTCTGAGATGTTTGTTCCTATTTTGAAAGTGAGATGCTACGCGTGAAGCCAAAGACATTCCAAGTACTAAAATGGCAAGCAGAAGTAGGAGCGATGGCCACATACTATTATTATGAATAAAAGGCCCTAGCCAACCCAACGAACGAAGCTTCTATAACTTCACTTCGCTTCGCTTTGTTCGTTGGGTCGACAAAGTTGAGAAGAAGGGGTAATCTACTCAAAGACCGGTCGGAAAGGGAAAATTCTATCCTGCCTGATTGATCACCGGCGTCGAATGCTTTTAAGCATAGCCTCCTCGCGGCATAGAATGAATGATCCTTACTCGTTCACACTATCGAATCATCTCAGTTCCTATTCCGGGCATTGAAAGCTGAAATCAAAAACCTTCAACTCCATAAGTGAAACTAAACAAATATTCCTCCATAACCTTGAAAACCAGAAACCTTCAACTCCATATGTGAAACTAAACAAATATTCCTCTACAACCTTGATAAACAGAAAAGGTTAAGTAAAGCAAACAGATTTTACAGCTTAAAAAGGTAAGTATGAAGCAAACAGATGTACTGGCTTAAAAGGTACAATGTAAAAGAAGTCTTGCCACTGATTTTTACAGCTTCTTACAATTTTTCTGTGAATTCCCATGTGCCAGAGTTTGCACTGGAAGGGGGAAGGAGATCATTCATAATGTCTTCAAATATGTTTTCTTGAAGAGATATACAGCTAATGCTATCTGAAGTAACCCCGACATAGTTTTGAGAGTCAAAGCTCTGGTCAACAATATTTGAGGCACCGAGGCTGCTATCACAGCCAACAACTTTCGCCTCAGTTTCAGAACTCGGCAGGCAAAACGAGACATTATTGCTGTGGGTATCGCCGAGTAAATCCATATCAACATCAGTATGTGTTAGGGACAGATTAGGACCCATAGAAGTCGTTAAGGTATTACTATTATGACCCAAATTCTGCGGGTAAAAACATCTCATATCATCCATAGTCTCAACACCATTATGTAAGTTTGTTGAAGATGGCTCCTCATTACCATTATGTGCCATATGCTCAATGTTATTACCATTGCCACGAGCTTTACACTCGATATTTTTGCTTGGGATGGAAAGCTTATTGCTGCTGCGTACAATTTTCGCCTTTCTGTACAAAAAAAAAAAAATTATGACAACTATTGCTTGAGGAGGAGTGCAAACATATAAATATATATATGGGAGGAAATGAATATTTCTATTAATACCTGATTAACTTGCGTTTTGTCAATGCTGCTTTAGACATCGAAATACCTTCAAAATACGAGATTTTTATTAGTTTAAAGTCTAGTACATAAAGAGAAGATACTACCACAGCCTACTATGAGAAAGTGGATTAAGCTTGATTCATTATATAATAATTAGAGTCAGAATTTTGGAAGTTTTGGATTAGTTCAATGATTGAGAAAGGGTTTGTTAAACAATTGAGCAATTCCACACTCACCTATCCGGCCAAAGAGGCGTAATTATCCGGATTATCACGACCAAATGATCTCACAACAGTGCATTTAAGATAAGCATAAGCTAAAAGTTAAATGAAAAATTTAGCCTCACTCTCGTTATGCACACTTATATTTAAGTTGATTCATGACTCTACATTTTGATTGGTGATTATACGAGAGATGGTTTGAGAACACCTACCAGACGATGAAGATTTTTGACTTTGACTGCGTTTGCTCCTCTCTGCCTTAATCGAAGCAATTACGGAATCTGCAGATGGCCCTAAACCCTTTCTTCCCAGTAGCTTCACACCAAGCGTCTCACAGAGATAATTAAACCGAGCCTCATCACCTCCTCTCACCTCTCTCAGCTCATGGGCTTGCTTCCTCGATATTAGCGTGTAGATGTGAAACTCCTGCTGCTGATTAAAATGAGACTGAAGCTGCTCGAAAAGTAACTTGTTCGAATATTGCTGATCTGGCTTCTTCCGGTTCCCTCCAAACGTCACCTTCAAAATCGCCATCGAATTAGCATTTTTCCGGCCGTTAAGTACTGCAAAGCTGCCGAATTCGAAATCGGGCTGCCTGAATAAATCTGCGAGAATTAAAGCGCAAGTGTGCGCGTTTTGCGATGGATTTTTCTCGACTGTTAAACCCGAGGATCTAATTCGAGCATAATGAGCCATGTTAGCAGCTTCTCTAAACCCACTAAGCAATGCACCGTGCATAGTTGCCGGATATCGCCTATTAGTAGCCTCGCCGGCGAAAAAAAGCCTCCCATCTCCCACACTTTCGGCTAAAATATCATAGTCATCACCTGAGGCCCCAACTGCAACACTCGAGTAAGAACCGCGACTCAAGGGGTCACTGCCCCATCTCGTACAGCAAGTCTGAAGAGGATTCGGGACTTCGATACCTTTTGGTTCATATATTCCTGCATTACAGATGCATCAACATAAAAAACTGCATATTTTAAGATTCTCAATTCAAAAACACCAGTAAGATAATTGCAGAATGTGAATTCTAGCACTAAGACGCCAAAATCACTAGTCGATTACTTTATATACAAGTCCAAACATGGTGTCCCTTTGATAGAAGGTTACATCAATGATTTAAATAATGGGAACAAATTGAAAACTGAAACTTTTTATGAAATCAATTTAGTTAATTGTTCCTAATACCCACCAATCAAGTAAAGACAATCCTAAATTCCTAATACCAACCAATCAAGTATAGACAGTACATTAACCTAATCGTTCAGGAAACTGGTAACAGAAAAGCAACTAATTATCTTGAACAGGCTAGTACAGGTACAAGATAAAACACTAAAGATGACCAAATACTGAGGATAGGCATACATGATTCAATCATAAAGCACTAAATTGCAACAAATACTTCCATGAGCACATAAGGAACAAGCAAATAAAAAAACCCGTCTACCCATCAAAGATATAACCATGCAAGCACAAGTAACATTATCTCCAAATTGTCAAAATTGTAGAGGATGAACATTCATTTCAAGAAAAAAAAAACAAAAAAAACAAAAAAGTAATTCATCAACCTTTAAGAATCCCAAGCACCTTCCTCACAGACACTGTAGGATCCTCATTCTCGAACTTGTAAGCAGCTTCTCCTGCAACTAAAGCAATCAAAAGCGGGCCTCCGGCAACTGTGGCATAGCTGTAGAAAAGAAAGTACTCCCCACGACTGCCCGAATGATGAGAGAGATGCCCAAACGTATCAAGATCAGTCCCCCAGAAAACGTGCGGAAATAGCAACCCAACTTTATTCAACACCCCAAATCCCAACCTCTTTATCGCGTCAAGCTTCCTCTGAGGCAACTCGGGGACAAACCTGATCGAGCGACTCTTCAGAACACCAAGCGGGACCGTACAAAGTACCATATCGCCCTTGTAAACCTGACCCCCTCCAACAGCAACCTGAACTCCATCACCTCCATAATGAATGGACTCGACAGTTTTCCCATACTGAACGGGCACATTCTCCACCAAAGCCTCGACCAGTTTCCCATTTCCTCCCGGCAGAAAACAGTGGTCACCTCCCATATCATACGGATCGTCTTGATCCCAAAACGCAAGCGAAAGCATCGAGACTAAACTGGCGTTAGCATATTCCAAGTTAGCGAGATGCCAATTGAAGAGGCTATTTTCCTCCTCAGTGAAAGCCTCCCGGAATGTCATCAGGGCAGCCCCAAGAGACACATCGCGCGAAACCTCTCCCATCGACTGTCTGACTTTACTCAATTTATCCAAGAGCTGATTAAAAGAGGTCTCGACTTTCCTGTCCAAATCAGGGTCCACGGGCATCCCATCAACTCTGTAAAGGGGGCACTTATCTCTAACTTTATGAAGCACGAAATTCAACTGCCGAGCCAAAATTCCGAGTGGGTTCCCCAAAGTGCCCGTCAACACACTTCCTCCCAAATCCACAGCCGCAACTGTATTGCCGTTGCCTAATTTCTTTGTGTACACTCTCCCACCAGGACGCCTTCGCCCCTCCAAAACCGTCACCTTAAATCCAAAAGCCATTAACTGCCTTGCAGCAGCCAGCCCGGAAAGCCCGGCCCCTACCACTATCACGTTTGGCTTCTTTGGCTCCACCAAAATCTTCTCTTTTATTGCAGGTGCCACACCAAAGTTGATATAGCCATGAGAAACTAAGTAATCGTAAGTGGTGTCCAAGAGTGGCCTGCAATGCTCCGGGACAACACCCACAAACATCTCCTTTGTAATCCAGGTGGACACGTTCTCTCGCCATTTTGTGATTATGTGGTTCCTAATTAAGATGTAGTTTACCTGCTCAATGCCGCCCACCTCAGACACCACGCCGTAATCTACTTCCTCCTCTGTGAGAGAATCTGCTGGGAAGCCGGCAGTCAATGCGATCAAGGCCTCAGCTGTTGCATCCTTGTTAATCACGATTATCTCATCCGACATGCCATCAATGGTTTTCTTGGCCGGGGTACTAGAATTCGAACTAGAACCCTGTTTTTCCTTTATCGAATTGCTCGTGTTCTGCATCTGGGTCTTGATAACCGAAGCCCCCGCATTGCGCGAGCCATTATTCAAAGACCACGCTGCATACCGCGGCCGACCGCGCCTCTTTCCTTTGGGGACAGGCAGCGAAAGGAGGTCACCTTGGACCGAATTCACGTCGGAACAAGGGGTTTCGCTAACAAGAGAAGCCCAATTAGGGTCTTGGAGATTGGTATCGGTGCCTGAAGAATCGATAATATGAATTGAGGATGGAGAAGAATTGTCGAGTTGATTAAAGATATCTGGATTAGGGCTGTGGTTAGATAAATCCATCAGAGTATTTCAAATCAAAATCAAATGGTATAGGAGAAGTGATGAACCTCAGCCTCCTCCCTCTTCTTCCCTGCATTCGTATTTTGAAGGAATTATAAACTGCAAAATAGTAGTATAGTTTTGTGTGGAAAAAATGAATGTAGAATTAAAGTTAATCGAAAAAACATTTTTCTTTTTTAAACATAATAATTCGATAAGCTGATAGAGAAATAATATAGTAGTTAGTATTATGAGACTATATTTACTTCAAATAGTAATTAAAATCAGCAAAAAAATATTTGGTAGTTAGTATTATGAGACTATATTTACTTCAAATAGTAATTAAAATCAGCAAAAAAATATTTGGTTTCACGTCTAAAATATGTAATAAATTGAGTAATCTTTTTTGCCAAAATTTGAAAAAACCCGCCTATGTGATATCAACTTCATTTTTTCGAAAATTTAAAATGTAAGCATTGGGTCAATTTGAAAACAAAATCGGACCTAATTTTGTGTCTATCGGATATATTTATGCTATTTATTTTTTTAAGAGTCGATTGTCTAGCCAATAAAAAAATCAATTTTTTTTAAATTTAAACTATCAGTTTATTTCAACATTTCTTTTTTGCCAATAAAAAATACGAATTTAGTATTTCAACAAAAGAATAAATTTCACTATAGATTAAGTCAATTAATTATATAGTCAGTAAATTAAATTAATAAACGTTGACACGAGAACGACAGCTGGGTCGAAGGCCCTCGACATCGGGTGACGAGCATCGTGAACTGGGGCTGTGCATGGTGTCCGGCCTTGTCGTAGACACCCGCGCGCCCAGCAGGCCTGAAGAACACGAGTTCATCAATGCCCAACAACGGTCGAGCGCGCGGCGCGCACAGCGGCTAGTGCATGTTGCGCGCAGGCACAATGGGAAGCGTAGGCAACGACAAGCAACGTTGTGCGCCTGGTAGTGCGATTTTCGTGCGACAACAGACATACACGCGCGACCCTGGCGACGCCTCAGCTTTCAGGCGCGACATCTCTGGAGCTTGGCAACACGCCATGTGACGTGCACGACAAGCTCGGGCAGGCGCCTCTGTACGCAGCCAGGACGTGGAGCTCGACGACATCTCCGGTAGGCGTCCCAGTGACAGTCCATGACGACGGTGACCACCAGTCCCCGACAACATTCCAACAGCGATCGAAGGACGGGACTCACCGACGCACGGCTGGACTCGGCGGCAACGACTCGGACGTGCGATGCCACAACGAGCGACACGGCAACGATGCGCATCGAGCGAGGAGTGACAGGCGCTATTCTGGCAACCAATTTACTTGGACAAGAAGTTTGCTGGATATGGAATTTTAGGTTGATATGGAAAATACAGTTTCAATAGGGGACATAGACTGATTAATTTCTTAATTCAACTAGAGTTCTAATTAATGGCTATAACAGGGGAATTTATATCCATATCTTTATTGTTGCATTGCTAAATTTGCATGATGAATTAATTGTAATCTTTATAGCCTGTGAATTAATTATGGAATTGCATGTGTTAAAAATCCTCACTTAAAAATAATAATTGGAAGAATGAATTAATTATGGAATTGCATGTATAAAAAATCCTTATTTGAAAATCTCCATTTAAAAATACCGGCATTATGTGTTACAGGTCGTAACACATTATTTTACAACTAATTCACCATATACTTTCTTTCATGGTAAAATTATCATTACCAAACAAAATAAATAAATAAACAAATAAATGTCTCTATACACATTTACATAAACTGGTAAAGTACATAAATTGCTCATCTGAAACTAAAACCTTAATGGTCAGTCACCTTTTATCGAGTTCTGCATGAAACAAGGGATTCGACCTTAATGTCTTCTTGGCCAAGTTGCGGATATCTTCTCTTTCAGATCCGTTCGAGATTCCGATTAATTCTTTCAGACCTCCACTGGTTATGAAATCCCTGGCGTTTTCCTCTGTAAAACAAGAATGTTTAAGGTTTATTATAGTCATTAACATAAAACATAAACAAGCTTAGAAGCTACATAAAGCCCCAATGAGAATTCACTAACTCATGGGTACTTTTGTAGTTATATAAGATAACCAAATGTTATAAAATTGGACTGATTTTTTTTACTACTATATTTTCTCTCATGGCTGGTTTTTATGAATGTCCACAACACCATGTCAGGTGCTTTTGTAATTTTGACATATTGAATTTTTTATAATTAAGAATGATCCTTCTTTGGAAAAATTCACAGAGAGATTAATTAGTTAATTAATTAATTAATTCAGACAAACAACCATTACCATTTTGTGCTAAACGGCAAAATGTGAGCTCCATATGGCGTCTGGTAGGAATCGAACAAGTGTTCAAGTTAGCAACAAGCCAAGACAGAGCTCCATCTTCCATTAGAAGCGAACGGCCCTTCCAATGGCCTGTGCAAGCAATGCACATTGTTTAGATTTAATTTTTAAATAACAAGATATACACGTAATTGTTTACGATGAACTTACCTTGCATAATTTTTCTAGACTCGCACTTGGAGAAATTAGCTAATCCCCTGGCTACCTGAGCGATGACATCACTATTTTTCGATCGAGTCATTCCCAAGAGAGATTTAATAGCTCCATCTTCTTTCAGAGACATGTGTAATTTTTCTATGATAGAAAGGTACCAGTATTAGAATACAATGATTCAACACTAAAATAACTTCAAAAAATATTTTTTTCACGAAATGGAATGGACTTCATCAACTAACTTTTCAATGTTGGAAGCAGGAAAACTTGAAGTTGTTACAAGCTTACAATTTTAATTTTTTTTTTATTTTCTTTTTGTTTAATGTTTTTTATGTTGACAGAGAATCTATAGATACAGCTTACCATTTCCGCATAAATTTGCAATTGCCCCTGCAACCATTCTAAGAGTTTGAGGATCGTCTGTTTTTGAAGCCACATTTGCCAAAAGCTTCGCCCCTCCTTTATTCGTTATCAAAGATTGGTTCATTTCTGATAATGCCAATAAAGAAAAAGAGATATATGATGACAATAATAATAATGATGATGATGATAGTGATAAATAAATAAATAAAAAGTAAAAGCATATTTTCCTGATTTTACATATTCAATCCTCAAAGTTGAAAAATATACCATTCATTGCCAAATTAGCTATAGCACCAGAAGCAACTCTGAGTATTGTTGTGTTGAGTGATGATTCCAACAACATTAACAGTGCATCTAAGCCACCATCCTGAACAATTNTTATCTTTGCAACTAATTTAAAAATAAAAGATAGAACGTTATGATAACTTCTATCATCCGAAATTTGTCTGACGAAAAGGAATGCAAAGGCCAAGACATCTTTAACAAGAATTGTAAACTAGCTTGAATAATTTACTTATTATTATTATTATTGTTGTTGTTGTTGTTATTATTATTATTATTATTATTATTATTATTTAAGAAAATAACTTTTAAGATATTAATTATGTACCTTCTGCAGCTAGATTGGCCACAACTTTCACAGCATGAACCTGAACATCCACATCTCCAGACTCTAACAATGATAGTATCTTTTGGATGCCAACTGCATGATAAAACAGCAAAATCCATTGAATACATTCATAACAAACAAACTAAAACAAGTCATGATGTAATAATGTCAACGCATAGATTTAAACGTATCACGCATTATGCAAATACTAAAGATAAGCAAGAAGAATCTTACCTTCCTCACATATTTTGGTGACTGTATTCCTCTGACTGAGGACAGTTTCTCTTGATCGGCTATACTTTAGAGAAGTTTGAGCATTGCTTAAAGCTGAGGACCTTTTGATAGTGTTTTCAAGCATATAAGATGTCTTTTCCTATAAAATAATTGAAGTATGAATTTTCTGTTAAGAATGATCTCTTTGAGTAAATTACAGGGTCATTTATAGAAAATACAACTGAGATATTTCATCTAATTAGAAAAATAAGTATATAAATGAATAAAATTATGAACATTAATGCTAAGCGTTTATAAATTTCTGTAAGTCAACATTCAAGGGCAGTTTTTGAAATAATCTGAATTCTGTAGTGTAAGGAGAATCTCTTTCACCTCAAAACCATCTTCACTTTCTGGGACGGCTTTTATTATATTGTTGAGCTCAGCTTCAGCATCTTTTCTTCGCCTTTCCTCTATTTGTAGAGTTTCTCGTACAGCATCAAGTTCATATTTAAGTGTTTCCTGATAGTTTCATTCGAGCAGCTATAAGCAATATGAGCATATTATAACTTCTAATTGTTAAGTCTCATTTTTAGTGTCTTGCAAAAGTACTTAAAGTTAAAGGATAAATTTAAAATATGGAATTATTAACATTGATTCATTAGAGCTACCATAAAATGCAAAAGAAAGTACACAATCTATTCAGTACAGAAAAGCAGCAGGATAAATGTGATATCATAGAGTACCAAATATACCTTTTCTGATTCTAGATTCTCATAGTTTATGCTTAAAACTCTTAGTTCATTGGCAGTTGCCTCATGCAGCTGATGCATATCTTGCAATCTCAGTTGAAGCTCATCAATCTCCTTGCCTCCATTAATCTTGAAAAGAATTAAAGTAATAGTGAATATTGAATTGAACGAAACAGTACTTGGATTACGCACCTATTACATTGGCCAAGTAAAAAGCATTTAATTTGCATACAACCCACGAGCAAACAAAATAAACTTATATAGCATAAGATACAATATTTTTGAAACCCACTTCATCACATAATATATATAATTAAAATGTTGATACAGTTTATGCACCTTGTTTTGCTTCAAATTCATCTGTAGGCATGCAATCTCATTCTGCATGACATTATTTTGGTCTTTGTGCCATTTCAGATCTTTCTCAATGTTGTTCAACTCCAACTCCAAACAAGCTTTTTCATCCTCCAAGATCTGTAAAAAATAAACAGAAAAAAAATTATAAGATGGTATAAAATGCTGTAATTTCAGTCGCATACTGAATTTCTAGGACTGTAACTATAACATCATTTTTTTTTTTTTACCTTACTAGTATTTGCACTCGCTTCTAAGCGTGCAATCTCATCAAGCAACAATTTGTTGCGGTCTTTCTGGCTATCCAATTCTTGAAGTAATTTTTCTATCTCCGATTTTAACTGATAATTCTCCTTCTGTAACAACTGCGGTTCACTCATGTAACTCGGCTTTCGTTAAGGACTAAACAATAATAGAGGAACAAAATATTTTATAAAAAAAAACTGCACGACAGAAACAAATACCTCAGACCTAGTGGCAAAATGCTTTTCGGCTTCGGCTGATGAATTTTCATATTCTTGCAGCAACTTGTTCGTTTCATTCTTTTCTTTCTCCCTCAACTTCTGTTGCCGATCGACCTCTGCGGAAAGATGATTGACTTGAGTCTCCAGCTTCCTACACAAGCTCTCGTAATCAAATTCTTCTTTCACCTTTACTGAGTTCACAACTTTCATGGCCTGTGGAAATCAACCATGAACACATTTGATATCTTTAGTATGTTCACACTGTAAAATGAGTATTAGGATAACTTTCTAATTGCAAATAGAAGTTCAGTCATGTCTTATAATTTTATATATCCTCTTAAAGTGTTATTTTTTTTAAATATAACAAACTTAATTGTTTTTTANAGGTAGGCTTGTGGAATTGTCTTGTGTTGATATGTTTCGATCCAAGTTGACAAGCAAATATTGCAGCATCACACAACTAATACACCATTTTAAAAGTTCCTTAGTTTTAAATATCTAGCTTTGCATCATAGACAGTCAAATTTGTTCTAAGGGGGAGAAAATAACATAGACTCACCCGCTGTCCAAACATTATAGTGCTTGCTGTTTCTGCATAATGGCGTGAAGATGGCCCAATTGTAATTATGAGTGATGTTCTTGCTGAACCTGTATCGTGTCATTGATTGTAAACAACATGCAACAAGAAAATATGAAAAATATAGAACTTACAAAATCAGGTACGAAATTCATTTTTAGCAAACAAGATTGAAAAATAATTACTCATGCATCTGTTGAGAAGTTTCTCAATTCATACATTCCCATAGGGTGGATCTTACACTAGCAAAGTACAATTATATAGCGAGCAATAATTGTTCCATTTATACATTTGGCTAACATTCATTAAGCATACAAGTCATTTACAAAAAAAAAAAAAATATAATAATAATAAACAAATAAATATGAATAATTACGAAAAATTTAACATATAACCTCCAAATGAATCTCGGAGCAATCTTGTCAACTTAGAATCTCTGGTTGGTATGTGAGGGCTATTTTCGGCCAATGCATTTATGCATTTTCCAAGAGATGAGAGAGAAAGATTGATAAACTTCGCCTCCTCCAGCAAGTGGCCTTCACTCCCTCCAACAAAGAAAGGACTAAATAAACTAACAACATAAAATGAATTTTTTCCACACAATTATAAACATTGGATATAAGTTCAAAAATGAAGACAAAAACATGATTTTTTTTTTAATTTTTTTATTTTTTTGGGAAAAAGCAGGAGAAAACAAATACCTGATTTGTCTATTCGCTCAGATCCGGCAAGATCCACAATCAGTAGCTTGCTTTTCCGAATTGTAGGCATTCGTCCATTTCTACACGTAGGAATTTCTTGCTCTTGATCAATCTCTCGTTCTTCTTTCTCATTACATGATCTACGAATATTAACCTATTGGAATATAAAGCAACTGAATGAATGAAGTTCTAGGATCAGGGAAAAATAAACCTTCAAGGTCTGTTATTTTTCTGGATTAAGATAATGTACCATAAGAATTGCATGACTGCGCGATGATTCTGTGTTCATCTTTGTATTGGCTGCGTAACGATTGGCTTCTCCAGTTTGCAATAGTTGTAAAAAATGATCGAGACTTCGTATTTTAACTATATCAACACCTGGTACGGATACTTCCCCAGTCTTGGCATCCTCCACAATTGAAATGTTTGTTTTTTCCGGAGAAAGCAAATCTTGAATAGATTCCATGTATAACTGTGGCAAAATATGTATCATCTTCATGGAAATACAGATTGAAGAACTAATAGCATCAAGTTCTAAAAGAAAACGGAAAAGGAAACGTGTATTTAGTGCATTTGTTCAAAAATGTTCTGTAAAAGATGACCATTTATTGGTATAGATGAAGAACAAGCTAATAAGATAAATAAACATTTCAATGATCAAGAAACTGCAACAACCCTTTTCTATTCGTTTTTACTTTCATAGTCCAATGCAAGTCCTACCAAAACCTGATTAAGAAAAAAAGTCCACATATAATAATCTCACTACCTGTAAATAAGAAACTTTGACAGTATCAGATGTCGATGTACCAGATAATATGTCCTCCAAAGCTCTAACCATTATTCCACGTTCAGAAGCATCCTCTTTACCCAGCCTGCCAAGGGTGTAAGTCTTTCCAGTGCCCGTTTGGCCATAAGCCATAACCGTACCATTATACCCATCCATTACACTCTGCACGTGAATAAAAATTACCTTTATGTTATCATCATGTAACCAAACCTTTTCAAAATTCATTTTCACTCTTATCCAGTTCAAACATAAAGTCGAATTTGGTATCAGTGAGCTACATCCTTTAAAACAATAAAAATTAACAAAAATTGTTCACAGGTAGATGTAGAAAATGTGATTTTGAATATATATTACAATAAAAAATAAAGAAAGAAACTCTGCATTTATCCTGTAAACTTCCATTAAAAAAAAAACCTCCATGAGCTCACATCTAGAAGACCAAGAACAATAACCACTTGAATAGAAAATAATGGAGATTTAAGTTTCTGACAGTAAAATGTAAGGTGTCAACTTACTTCAACAACGGGTTTAGCTACCGCCTCATAAATACGCTTCTGTGAAGCACTTTCCGTAAAGATTTCATCAAATCTATAAGAGTCAGAAGTCCAATTGTTTTTTCTTAACTTCAACATTTTTAGCTGCATAAACAATAGTGAATGCTTCAGTTAATACATGAATTGGGAAGAAAAAAGTATCCCAATGCATAAGCTCATAAGTACCTCAGGCTTAAGTTCAACACATTCAGCATAGTCGACATCGGACATATCCTCAGCATTTTTAGGTCGTAGCCTAACAGCAACTCTCACTCTCTCAGATTCTATGGCACAGAACAAAGAAGCACATTTTAAAAGTGCTAATGAGAAAGCATCTATTGAATGTTAGTAAAGTGAAATGCAAAAACTGCATTTTATGCATTACTAACTAGTTTTTTAGACCATCTAATACTAAAACTGCAGATACTACTCAAAATCAATGGATTGGACTCATCATTGTTGAACAAAATTCCACCTTTCATAAAACAGTAACAAATACCAGCATTTCATAATCTTTCACTTTTCAAAAAAAAAAAAAAAANATTATCAACTTTTATCTAATCCCACCAAAATAAACCACTGAAGTCTCTCATAATCGGCAACAGTTAAACATTATACTCAATCATCAAGCACAAATTTATGCTCATACAATTATATAATACAGCGAGAGAGAGAGAGAGACCTGAGTCATAATGAAGAGATGAAGAGCGATTTCTTGAGGTGGGCGTAACAGAGCGTCTCGAAGAAGACATGGGCACTTTAGAGCGGACAGAATGTGGCTGCCCGCCATTGTTAGTTCGCAAAGAGGAAGAATTTCCATTAACAAAAAAATTCAAAGGATTAGAAGACGAAGAGGATGATGGGGATTTGTGCGATGCTCTTCCTCCACTGCCCAAAGACGACATTTTTTTTTTTTCTTCCTTCGTTCTTTCTTCTGAGAAACTAAAAACAGTTCCTTGAAAAAGGTAACAGAAACGTTGGGAGGTTTTGTTGAGAGAGATTTGGAGAAGAAGAAGAGTGTGCGTAGTCTTTGCGTGGCTGATTGATTTGGTTAACAGTTGAGGCCCGCACGATTTGGACAAAAAGAAAAAAGAAAAAAAAAAAAAAGCTTTTCAATCGTAAAAATAGAAAATGGATTAAAAGCTGTCATCTTTTCAGTTCCCGCGTTCAGATTGCCTGCCTATGTTAATTTCCAAAATAATTCAGTGTCTAAATAAAGATAGACACATCTTTTTATTTTTCTTTTGTCATCTATTACTATATAATACGGAGAAGAAAAATTATTTGAACAATCCGAAAAAAATCATTTCGTTTTCCCGCTTCAATATAGTGCTTTTCCCGCTTCTTCAATTCGTAAAAATTTTTTTTGAATTTTTTCAGCCCATGCAATTAGGTAACCAATCAAATCGAATCTTTTAGCATTCAATTTGGTAAGGTGTTCCGATTTTAGCATTCAAATCCGATTTCACTTCCTTTTTTTATGCCAATCAATCCGATTTTTTTTGTTGTTTCAAAATTTGTTTAGATTTATATTTTTATTTTATTAATATATTTGAAAGAGAATCAATAAATGTTTATCATAACTTTTATTTTAAAAATAAATTTGAATAAGCATACCTTTTACTTTATATGAAATTCAAAATTACATATTTTAATATATTAATAAACGTTTATTATTTATTTTTTCCTTATGTGATATAATAGAATTTCGGTATTAAATTTGTAAATTCAAACATTTAAAGGAAAAGATTCCAAACAATTTTTTTGGGTAAATTTCATTTTATCTTGGTTTTCATTATCACATTTCTAACAAACTAATTAGTATTATATTTTTTTATCTACATTATCTAACCGATTTTTTATGATACAATTAATATAATATCTTAACAAATTAATCATTTGTCTAACCG